AAATCCATGTAGTTTATGTTATTAATGATTTCAAGAAGTCAGGAAAATGACAACACAAAAGCCTACTAATCTTGAAAAAAATTTTGAAATAGATTTTGAACCAGAAAATTGGTTCTTTATTCATGCAACAAGACATGTTCATATAGGAGGGTATCTAATCAATCTATTAACATAAGATATTGATTGCTGGCTCTATCTATTTCGGTTATAAACCACTGAATAAAAGTAGCCAGGAAAATGACAGATTTTCGTGTGACAACCAAATTATTGACAGAAAAAATTATTTTAAGCGAAGTTTTTGTAAATAATTCCCTCGGCGTATATTCTAAAAATGCTTACAATGGTTGCGATAAAAAAATTAGATATTGAAAATTTTATGCGAAGTTTTGAAGCTAGTTATTATTGGAAATATTGTTTGTGACATACCAGAAACATGACATTTTAAAATTCAATTAAATTTTATAAATATACAAAACAGTCGATGCTAGTACAAGTTCATTTTAAAATGCTAACAGCAGTGCTATTCATTAAAATTTCAAAAAAAAAGTTCTTTTAGTAGTATAGTATTAGATCTTGGAGAAAGATACCGTAAATTGTTATATTTCGTGAGAATCACCCATATATTAAAAATCTTATTATTAAATAATCATTCTGAAATATTCATTTTAATTAATGAATAGAGCTCTATTTCATTGGAAGATATAAGTGTACGAACACTTTTGGGAGCCACTTTTCTTCATTATATTATATAGCTTTTTAGTATCGTAAAATAATTACATTAAAAAATAAGTTGTTGATTATAGTTTGTTTTATAATGTTTAAAATCAGATAAAAAATTTCTTTATTTCTACATCCATGCGCTTTTACTAAAATTTCATAAGTATGAGAATAATCAAAATACTTAATTTGATTCGACATATCAATGAATAAACCTTTATAATAAAAAGTTTTAATTATAAAAAAAAACTTTTATTAAAAAGATTCTTTTGTAAATAAAAATATCTTTCCAACCAAAGAAATTTCTTTGAATTTTTGTTTACCGACAAATCTCATGTCATAAGAATAAAACGATAATCTTTCACGTTCCTTCACTCTTCACTTCACTTGATTTTAGAAACTGTCGTTCTACTCATCTTTTTTTTCCACTGCTTTTTCAACGCCATCAGAGCTTGAAGCGAAACTGTGATAAGAATACTTAAATTGGAATATCGATTTTTAGATGAAAAGAACGAGGAGAGAATTTAATCGTTTAACAATTCCTTTTGAGTGGAACGAGTTAGAGAAACATATATCTATAACTAGCAATGATTCGTTTATCAGTGGCAATATCGCTTTTTTGATTTAGTATTCTTTTTTTTTTTCCATTTAGAGTCAAATTGTATAAAAATGAAGATTAGACTTTCATTGATGCGAGAAATTAAAATATGTTCCATCCCAAAAACGATCACATCAGACGAAAAATAGAAGAAAAATTTGTTGGTCATTTTTAATTCCTTTTCTACATTTTGTTTCTCATACAATAAAAATATAACACAGATTTCATAGTTTTTCTGAGTTATAAATAAATGGTTTTAAAACAATGTTCTAAATTTAAAAATCGTTTTTTTTTTTTTCTAACCGAATGAAATTACGGTTCTTATTTCCAATTTTATACTACCCTCTGAAGATTTAAAACGATTTATTTCAAAAAATAAAAGTATTACTTTTTATTAAAAGACTATTTATTGAAAATAATTTTGCTTGAAAAAAAAATAGGAATTAAGTCTTCTCCATGAAAAATTTTTTAAGACTAGTACTTTTAGCCATACTATTTTTTATTTTATATTATATTATTTCATATTATATTATTTTATATTATATTATTTTATATTATATTATTTTATATTATGATAAGGGGCAGTGAACAGCTGACCCAATTCTGATTTTACCGCTATCAATGTTCAACTCCGTAACCTTGTAATTTTGAGCCCAATCTAAAAGACAAGAGAACTCCCGGATCAAGTATTTTGGCAAACTAGCTTTCCTGGAGGCTTTTTTGATCGAACTAAACCGAATTTACGTAGTATCGAGTGGATAACCACGAAATTCTCCCACGACTAGTCCGACGTCAAGGGGATTCTGACCCATGATCTGTCTGCCAAGTAGGATATTTTATGTCTGCACTGTAGTCTGTGCGAGCCGGGAACAAAATTCGTATCGACCAGCCAATGCTGGGATTAGAATCTAAGTCACCTCATTGGGAGACTAGTGCTCTATCCCCTGAGCCACTATGGTTCCCATACTGCATTATAAACAATTATATTACAATACATATTAATAAATGGCTTCTGCAATAAATTTATCGCTGCATTCTTATTGATAATCTTCCGCTCGTTCTATGTGTAGTGGCAAGCTATCCCATGAGTCTTTGGTTAGAAATCTTATCCATTTAATAAAATGAATCCTTATTTATTCTTAATGAAGTATATAAAGTGTTAGAAAAAGGTAGTGCATTCACTTTTGAAAGCAAGGCTAAAAGACAACACTTTCCGATCCTATTGACCGCAACGCCCCGCTGCGGTAATAAGCTTGACTACTATTTAGACGATAAGTTTATCGATTTTTTAAATTATTATTATTAAATGAATGTCAAAAAACTCTATTTAATCTTCGATTGCTTTTATTTAATTTCATAAATTGCTTAAATGTTTTTTTTCCTGCAAAGGATATGGCGTGTTAATAAAGACAAAGTAAGAAAGAATAGTGTGCTAAGTAAAATCATAGCAGCCTTAGAACTTTTGAACTTATGATCACTTTTTTACTTAAATAATGTTACATGAGGATGACCTTAAATATGCTAATTAGTTCCGATATACGATACTCAAAATTACAATATCAGATTCAGGGCATACCTTTGCTGAATAAGCATGCAATTTTTCATTGGAATTGGAGTTTTGTTGCTTTCAAAATATGGGGAGAAACCGCAATCTGGAAAAGTATGTTTTCTATAGTTTGCCCATGATTGTGGTTAAAATATTAATTCTCTATAGTTTAATTTACCTTTTTACGTAATTCTCTATGCCTCCTGATATGAGATTTGAGCAAATCAAGTAAATTTCGCGTACAATTTAAAACAAGTCTTTCCAAAGATGAATCCACCCATAAAATGATTTATTATTTTCAATTATTTAATTTAATTAAGTTTTCAAAAGTATTTTAAACTAAAAGATATAAAAATTTTATCTGATTTAAAACTGTAAGCTTAAGGGACGAAAAAACATATTTGTAAGGAAATTATCAAATTGTTTCAAAGTGAAAATATAGTTCCTTTACATTTTAATATCTTAATCAATTTATCGATTGTATTCAAATGTTTTTGCCTTTTAAAATAAAGTAAGGTAAAAAAAAATTATGTACCATGAAATTTTAAAATTTTTCAGCGATTATTAAACTTATTAATAAACTATTTTAAAATTATTTTAACGACTGATCATCACTTTACCAATTCACTTTACGAGTTTTATAATCGTTTCTAAAACTTGTTTGATTTCAGAGATACAGCACTGTAGACTCAGACATATAGAGAGAGACGCATAATTTCAAATATGTAGCAAAATCAACGAAAAGTGAAATTAACATTTAAAAGGTTATTTTTGAATCTTGTCTCGATTAAACTATTAGGCCCGTACTGCCATACTTTACAGATTGCTCCCCCCTCCCCTACTTATGAAAATCTAAATCCGGGGTGACTTCAATCTGGAAAAATGCAAAAAGCGGTGACCAATATTTTATGGCTTTAATTTCGGATCAATTTCAGAATTTCAGTTGGTCTGTTGAAACAAAGAATCCGCAGATTGGCTATAAATTTTTGTAGTTATAATATGGTGATAAATTCTGCTTGTGGAAAAGTTGTCAAGAGTTAATTATTTAATTTGTCATCAGGCTTGGATGTCTAGAACATATTTAAACACTCTGTTATTTCAGAAAGCTTTTGAAATTTTTGCCAATTCTCATTTAACTTTGCGATAATATGGTGATAAATTCTAATTGCATTAATCAGGAAATCATTTTAATCATTATAAGTTAAAAGTTTTAAAAGAATTAAAATATGATGGAATATCACATTCGGATCATCCAGTTTGTCACAATAGTTAAGTGTCGCAACAATTATAATTGATGTCATATTTAATGATATTTTAAGATAATAGACATACATTACTAAGCTACTTCAAACGCTATTACAATAATGTATCATTAATTGCTTGACTTCATCATTTTATGCTTAAGTTAACTTCAATAATACCATCTCAAAATAAGTGCCGCCATAGAATAATGAAAACTTGAATTCCAAATAATAAAGATTTTGAGAGTAGCTATTCTCATATTAAGCTACAACGTTGATATAGTATTAACAAACAAAAACTGTTTGACCATTGCCAATAGTACTATTTTATTTATAAAAGACAACATTTAAAATAATTATGTTCAAAAGTTCTCGAGAAATGCACCTATAAAACAAGCTGGAAGCAATTACCTTGACTTGAATACTTGAATTATACTGTTAAACTAGAGCTTAACTGCTGAACTTTGATAAGTAACTTTATTGTTGCCAAGGTAATTGGAACACGTTTCGTTTTTTATTGTTGAAATTTTATGTTATGCAACATATGCACTTTATGTAAAGCAGATTAGTTTTTTTTTTGTTATCTTTCTTAGGTTAATATAGAGTTCCTATCATCTAACTATGATAGATATCAGGAATTCCATGATTGTAGTCTCCTTGGAACAATTCAGTAGAGTTGTGATGTTCTCACAGATTTATTCTAAGTAATGAGCAAGATACAATAGACAAGTTACAATAAAGTTCAGTTTCAGCATTGTTAAGACAAAAAACGAGCAATGCTTCAAATTCTTTTCTTTTTTTCTTTTTTTTTCTTTCTTTTCTTTTTTTCTTTTCTTCTTTTTTTTTTGTACCGTGCTCTTCCTTTCTTACTTTTTCCACTGAACATATGAACGCAAATGAGAAAAAAAGTTTTAATAAGCAAATGGAGTCAAAAGCTTGAATCACGAGACAATATAATTTGGTATACAAACGATGAAAATATTTGTAATTAAAACGATTGTTTTAAAGATTCAAAATAAACAAAAAGGTGCAAAAAATTATTCACTTGAATGTCAAAGAAACTTTTGAAAATGCAATTATGAGATTGATAGTGCCGTATTACCAAAAAATAAGCTTTGTAAAATGCTGCTAAACTCAGATCTATTTACTAACGTCTTAAAGATTACCTTATTCCACAAGCAAGCAAGAAATGGAAGTTTCGCTGATTCAAAGTAGTTCTCGCATTCTACCACCTAGAATTCATCCTACTGTTGAAGCAAAGACGGAAAAGAAATGGTGGCAAGTAATTATAGCATATATCCTGCCAAATAAACAACAACTTAATCGGTATATCACACAAGTATTTTGCATTCTATTTCTCTATGCAATATTTTACGGCATGCTTGGTGATGATGCTTTGCCAGGCAGTGCAATCTTTGCTCTTTTCGTCATAGTAATATCAGCCTTTTTGGGAGGAAAATTTATTGGCCTTATAAAACTACCACCACTAGTGGGCATGCTGATTGTAGGATTTCTTTTCAGAAACATCAAAGAAATTCCTTTTTATCATCACATTCCTAGGAAAGTCATCACTGATTTGCGCGAAATAGCTCTCTCCATCATTTTATTAAGAGCTGGTATAGGTCTCGATGGTAAAGCATTGAAAAGGTTAAAACTAGCTGTTCTTAGACTAACCGTTTGTCCGCAATGTGTTGAAGTATTAAGCATGGGTATTTTTGGACATTTTCTATTAGGACTTCCTTTTATCTTTTCTTTCATGTTAGGATTTATTATATCTGCTATTTCTCCAGAAGTTGTATTGCCGCCTTTGTTGGAATATGAAAGACAAGGGTACGGAGTAAAAAAGGGTATTCCTGCTTTGGTAATTGGAGCTACGTCTCTCGATGACATTGCGGCAATAGCCGGCTTCACTGTTTGTTTCAGTGTAGCTTTCTCAACCAAAGACTTATTGTGGACATTAATCAAAGCACCTTTAGAGCCAATAATAGGATTTGCTTTAGCTGTAATTTTTGGAGTTTTATTTTGGTACTTTCCAACTACATACAATAAAAGAAAAATTAAAGTTTATTACAATATTCTGATGGTAGTATCGGGATCTATAGGTGTAATGTTTTTGAGCCAAAGAGTAAAATTTGCTGGCTCTGGACCTCTCGCCTGTATCATTCTCGGATTCATTGCTTGCATTAAATGGAGAAAAGATCCCCAGCAATTTGAAGGTGTGTATAATGGCACTCTTCTGTTATGGGACATTGTTGAACCACTTCTGTTTTCTCTAATCGGAGCTGAAATTACAGTTGATATTTTACATTCTAATGCAGGATGGGCTATATTATCCTTGATCTTGTCTCTCTTTTTCCGCACAATCATGACATACTTTATCACGTTTGGCTGCAATTTAAACTACAAAGAAAAATTATTTATCTGCTGTGCCTACCTGCCTAAAGCTTCCGTACAAGCTGCTATAGGATCTCAAGCTTTAGATTATGCGAGAGGACATGATTATTCAGAGGAGTTAGTTAAATATGGCCTTATAGTATTGAACGTCTGCGTTTTGTCCCTGCTATTGACTGCACCATTGGCTGCTATACTCATTCATTTTATGGGACCTATATTATTAACCAAGGATAGAAAATCCTCAATACTTTTTACTTCTGAATCATCAGAGTCATCTAGTGAAGAAGAAATAGTTGATAGAAAGAAAGAAGAAATAGATAAAGAAGAAGATGTTAATGGAAAAAAGGTAGGAAAAAGTAAAGATAAAAAGGAAGAAAAAATCATGGAAAAAAAGAAAGAAGAAATAACGGAAGAAAAGGAGGGAAGTTCTTATAGTCTATTTCAGGAAATTTCGGAAAGAGAAAAAAGAATAAGCAAGAAAATGTAATTTTTTTTTTAAGTTTTCAACTTAAAATTATTCTCAAATCTTTTTTACCTATTGAAATCGAACTTGCTCATTTGAAGCTAGTACTTAATAAGCCCACCATGAGTCACCGGTGTTGGATCATATTCTATAAATAATTTATTTACAAAAATTTCAAAAACCAAGGAGAAGTAAGAAGAAATAGGGGGGACAACAAATTGAAGAAAAGTGAAATTAAAGACAAAAGGAATGAGAAGTAACAGAGTAAAATGAAGAAAATGTTTATATTCTGCTGTATGAAATTTCGTAGAGAGAAAAAATTGTGAAGGGCTACTTTTTAGAAATAATTTTATAAAAGTAAAACAGCAAGTTATTTTCAAACCATTTTGAGTTATTGGAACCAAAATTATTCATTTTAAGCAAGAACAATAATAGTCTTTTATGTTTCCCATGTGTTGGGCCATGTGAATTTTTTTACAAATATTTTAAAAACTAAAGATATGAAAATAGTGAGAGAAAAATTAAATATTTTCTCCTAAGAATATTTTTGTTAGTTTTATATTTAAAAACACAATTAATTAGAAGAAATACAGCTCAGCCACTAAAGTAAGCCTGACCGGCTTAACCGCTTCTGTCTTACCATTTTCTTTTTCTTTTTTTTTTTCTTTTTTTTTTTTTATTGGGCTAGCAGTTTCACTGGAACAGATCCATTATTTTATAGCTATTGACAGCAGGCGCTACGTTTTGACTGTTTAATATATTACTTGAACTTTGAAAATCTGCATTAAGTTACCGTGATTTAATTAATGTCTAAACTAAGTTCCCATACAGAAAGATACTAATTTTGAACTTTTCTTTTAATTTTCAATGTAAACTAATTACGGATATTAATGAGCCCTCAATAGTGATCAGTTTGTAATTAAGAATGCGCTGAATCGTCATTATTTAGCCATGCTATTAATAGTTGCATTCTTTGTTATAACCGAATTTATGGGCATCATTTTGTTTCAATGAGCTAGTCTGAGTTTCTATGAATAGCTAAAAACCCAACCATAAAAATCATATCAAGAACCATATTTCACAAATGTTTGAGATGAACAATAAAATGCCGTTGCATATGATTTATTGAACTATTCATCTACGAATGACTAGAAACCCAACCATAAAATTCGTAAAGAAACCCATGTTTCCGTTTGAGATGAACAGTAAAATGCCGTTGCATATTATTTATTGAACTATTCATCTATGAATGACTAGAAACCCAAACAAAAAAATCATATCGAAACCCATGTTTCCATTTGAGATGAACAGTAAAATGCCGTTGCATTTTATTTATTGAACTATTCATCTATGAATGACTAGAAACCCAACCATAAAAGTCATATCGAAACCCATGTTTCCATTTGAGATGAACAGTAAAATGCGTTGCATATTATTTATTGAACTATTCATCCATTAATGCCTAGAAACCCAACCATAAAAATCATATCGAAACCCATGTTTCCATTTGAGATGAACAGTAAAATGTCGTTGCATATTATTTATTGAACTATTCATCTGTGAATGACTAGAAACCCAACCATAAAAGTCATATCGAAACCCATGTTTCCGTTTGAGATAAACAGTAAAATGCCGTTGCATATTATTCATTGAACTATTCATCTATGAATGACTAGAAACCCAACCATAAAAATCATATCGAAACCCGTGCTTCCATTTGAGATGAACAGTAAAATGCGTTGCATATTATTTATTGAACTATTCATCCATTAATGCCTAGAAACCCAACCATAAAAATCATATCGAAACCCATGTTTCCATTTGAGATGAACAGTAAAATGTCGTTGCATATTATTTATTGAACTATTCATCTATGAATGACTAGAAACCCAACCATAAAAATCATATCGAAACCCATGTATCCATTTGAGATGAACAGTAAAATGCCGATGCATATTATTTATTGAACTATTCATCTATGAATGACTAGAAACCCAACCATAAAAATCATATCAAGAACCATATTTCACAAATGCTTGAGATGAACAATAAAATGCCGTTGAATATGATTTATTGAACTACTCATCTATGAATGACTAGAAACCCAACCATAAAAATCATATCGAAACCCATGTTTCCAATTGAGATGAACAGTAAAATGCCGTTGCATAATATTTATTGAACTATTCATCTATGAATGCTAGAAACCCAACCATAAAAATCATATCGAAACCCATGTTTCCATTTGAGATGAACAGTAAAATGCCGTTGCATATTATTTTTGGAACTATTCATCTATGAATGACTGGAAACCCAACCATAAAAATCATATCGAAACCCATGTTTCCAATTGAGATAAACAGTAAAATGTTGTTGCATATTATTTATTGAACTATTCATCTATGAATGACTAGAAACACAACCATAAAAATCATATCGAAACCCATGTTTCCGTTTCAGATGAACTGCCGTTGCAGATGATTTATTGAACTACTCATCTATGAATGACTAGTAACCCAACCATAAAAATCATATCGAAATCCATGTTTCCATTTGAGATGAACAGTAAAATGCCGTTGCATATTATTTATTGAACTATTCATCTATGAATGCCTAGAAACCCAACCATAAAAATCATATCAAGAACCATATTTCACAAATGTTTGAGATTAACAATAAAATGCCGTTGCATATTATTTATTGAACTATTCATCTATGAATGACTAGAAACCCAACCATAAAAATCATATTAAGAACCATATTTCACAAATGTTTGAGATGAACAATAAAATGCCGTTGCATATGATTTCTTGAAAGCGTATCAAGACTATAGTAAAATTAAATTAAACTTTTTCTTCGAAAAATTAACACCCAACATGTTTTTTGACAAAATGCTTTGTCCTGCTATAATAAATGATGCATGAAAACCTTTCTACACTCCACTGTGCGCTTCCCTTGAGGGAAATTACGTGACTTGACAGTGAGAATTGAATTTTTTCTAAGCAGATTCCGATGTATTTTTTTACGCCAAATTGAATGAGACTATCACCAAGACGATCGAACTAAAAGTTGATAAGTTATAAGGATTTTGTGTACGAAAAGTACAAATTTGTACTCGTACCTATTTACACATTTGATTCTGCTATCTGAATAAGTGAGAGTATACACTTTCAGGACCCGTGCAAAGGATTTCAATCTATTATCCAGTAAATTAGACAAACATCAAAAGAATTCATCAAAGTCTTCATCAAATGCAAATCTTAAACACTTTTATGATTAATTTTTGTCCCATAGAAAACTAATTTACTGCAGTTAGTTTTAGACTAATATTATTTGGACCCAATTCTATTTAATTATGCTACGTATCTATCGAAAATTATTGTAATCGAATAAAAAATACTGATTCGTTTAGAAAAATTCATTTCGTATTTATTTTGAGGATCGAGTTAAATATTTTTTTTTCTTTCCGGTGGAAAAAAATCATATCAATCAAAAAATCAATCAAATNNTTTGAGATGAACAATAAAATGCGGTTGCATATTATTTATTGAACTATTCATCTATGAATGACTAGAAATCCAACCATAAAAATCATATCGAAACCCATGTTTTCGTTTGAGATGAACAGTAAAATGCCGTTGCATATGATTTATTGAACTATTCATCTATGAATGACTAGAAACCCAACCATAAAAATCATATAGAGACCCATGTTTCCGTTTGAGATGAACAATAAAATGCGGTTGCATATTATTTATTGAACTATTCATCTATGAATGACTAGAAATCCAACCATAAAAATCATATCGAAACCCATGTTTTCGTTTGAGATGAACAGTAAAATGCCGTTGCATAATACTTATTAAACTATTCATCTATAAATGATAATATCTTTGTTATAACCGAATTTATGGGCATTATTTTGCTTTCAATGAGCTAGTCTGAGTTTCTATGAATGGCTAAAAATCCAACGATAAAAATCATATCGAGACCCATATTTCCCAAGTGTTTGAGAAGAACAATAAAATGCCGTTGCATATGATTTCTTGAACGCGTAACAGGACTATAGCCCAATAAAATTAGACTTTTTCTTCGAAAAATTGATACCCAACATGTTTTTTGACAAAATGCTTGGTCCTGCTGTAATAAATGATGCATGAAAACTTTTCTACACTCCTCTGTACGCTTCCTTTGAGGGAAATTCAGTGACTTGACAGGGAGAATTGAATTTTTTCTAAGCAGATTCCGATGTATTTCTTTACGCTAAATTGAATGAGACTAACACCAAGACGATCGAACTGAAAGTTTATAAGTTATAAGGATCTTATGTACGAAAAGTACAAATTTGTATTTGTACCTATTTACACATTTGATTTTGCTATCTGAATAAGTGAGAGTATACACTTTCAGGCCCCGTGCAAAGGATTTCAATCTATTATCCAGTAAATTAGCCCAATATGAAAAATATTCAGCAAAGTCTTCACCAAATGCAAATCTTAAACAGTTTTATGATTAACAGTTTTATGATTCTGTGGGACAAAACTGTTACAGTTTTGTCCCACAGAAAACTAATTTACTGTAGTTAGTTTCAGGTTAATATTATTTGAACCCAATTCTAATTGATTATGCTGCGTATCTACCGAAAATTACTGTAATCGAATAAAAAATACTGATTCGTTTAGAAAAATTCATTTCGTCGTAATTTTGATGAGTAGAATTTCTTTCAGTATCTTAATATTTAAAATTTTATAGACAGAAATCTATACAATACGTAAGTATAAACTCATATTTCACAATTGACAGAGACTTTGATTTTAGAACCCTGGTATGTTCGCACTTGAGCGGCTTTTCAGATTTGACAAAAATGTATATCTTGCTGAATTCGTTGTTAAAAAAGGATATGTTGTACAGTACAGTGTAGGTTAACATTTCAAACAGGAAAAACATGTTTATTAGCTCAACGATATCAAAACAAATAAGCAGTTTTGTTAAATCCAAAGTGTGCTCATATTTGCTATTATCGATTATCTCCGTGTTTAGTAAATAAAATTCTTTTTTTTTTCTTTCTCCAATGGCTTTTATTTCCGAGGATTTTTTTCCTTAAATTAAAATGAGCGTTTGCTGCAGCAAATTTCTTCAAGCTAAAAGAATTTCCCAGATTTAAAAAAAGTAATAATATTTTTCAATGCCCAAAAGTAAATGAATCATTAAAAAATACTTTAACTTTACGGCGCTGTTGAAAAACTATAATGTGTGCATAACCAAGCATATGAATATTTTCATTTAAAAGTTAATATCAATCTTTGCATTTATAAAACACATGCAATTGGTAGTTAAAATGGATTTCTACTTGCTAACAAGTTTTATTTTTAAAAAAATTTTCATCCAGATGAAGGATATTTCGTTATTCAAATTAAATCTAATATTAAGACCCGTTGAGACTTAACTGATCTAAGTCTTAAATTTGAAACATATAATTTATGCACAAATAATTTAAGTACGTTTAGTACGTTTAGTCGCTGGTGGTGCGCGACCTCTTTTCTTTTAAAATATAGATTTTATATCAAACTTATGATATTTTCATCTAAATTATATAACAAAGTTAAAAAATTATGTACAAAGAATCTTAAAAACATAATTATTGATATTAAAATCAGGTAATAAAGTTTGTGTTTATTTTAATAATCTTGATATTGAATGCGAATACTGGCTTCCGGTATCGAATGCTGGCCTTTAAATAAAAGTGAGGAAAATAAACTACAAATACTTGAAAGAAAAACACTCTGAGCCACCTTCGAAGCTGTTAAAGAAAACAGTGTTTGGCGGATTCAGCACACTTATGAATAATACAGAAAATTAAAGCAACCCAACATAAATTCAGTTACTGTATCTTATAGAATAAGATGAATGAGTCACATCTACTGAAGGAATGATGGTGACCCAGTTAAGAAGCTGACTTTTGGAAAATTTACAGGCAATCGAAAAAAGGAAAGACCAAACACCAGAGGAATTGATTCTGTGGAAAAGGATCTCAAAACCATGGAAATCAATAAATGGAGAAACCTAGTGTCTGTGGTCTGATCGAGCTAAATGAAGACGACTGGTTAGAACAACTCTGGTCTGTACTAGGCTGTCATGCTGATGCAAGAGGATATTGAATCACCATTAGGACGAAAAATAAATAAGACATGAGCGATAATGCAAACTTATCGATATAGTTGATCAGTAAGTACTTCGGCGTTGCTATGGTAGTCACGTGATTTGAAGAATTCTATCAGCTTTTTTTAAACTTGAAACGGGAAAAACTAATATTTCAACAGCGAAATTAAAAGCGTATAAAATTTCTTGGTTGACAAAAAAATGAAACTGTAGTTCAAAGTCCCTCCAAAAACAAACATTGCTTAAAATGATTTAAAAGATGTAAAATAATGTAAAAAATTATTATTCGAACTTCTAAAAAAAAAAGGTTTCAAAAATACCTCTACTTTGAAACTTATTACCTGCTTTTCAAATATTCCTTGACTTCAGCTACTTTAACAAGCAAAAAATGGAAGTTTCTGTGGTTCAGAGTAGTGCTCGTATGGCTCATCTTAGAACTACTTCAATCAAAGAAGCACAAGAAAAAAAATGGTGGCGGGTAATTATGGCATATATCCTGCCAAATGGACGGCAAATTAATCGTTATATCACACAAATGTTTTGTGTCCTATTTCTATATGCCATATCTTATGGCATGCTTGGCGATGATGCTTTGCCAGGCAGTGCAGTTTTTGCTCTTTTCGTTATCGTAATTACTGCTTTCTTGGGAGGAAAACTTATTGGCCTGATTAAACTGCCACCCCTAGTGGGCATGCTAATTGTTGGTTTTCTATTCAGAAACATCGAAGAAATTCCTTTTTATCATCATATTCCTAAGAGAGTCATTACTATTTTACGCGAAATAGCTCTATCCATCATTTTATTAAGATGTGGTATAGGTCTCGATGGCGAAGCATTGAAAAAGTTAAAACTAGTAGTACTCAGACTGACTATTTGTCCCGAACTCACTGAAGTATTGAGCATGGGTATTTTTGGACATTTCATCTTAGGACTTCCTTTTATCTTTTCTTTCATGTTAGGATTTATTATCTCTGCTATTTCTCCAGAAGTTGTATTGCCGCCTTTACTGGAATATCAAAGACAAGGATACGGAGTTAAAAAAGGTATTCCAGCTTTGGTAATTGGAGCGACGTCTTTAGATGACATTGTGGCGATAGCGGGCTTCACTATATGTTTTAGCGTAGCCTTCTCAACTAAAGACTTACTGTGGACTATAATCAAAGCACCTTTAGAGCCAATAATAGGATTTGCATTAGCAATAATTTTTGGAATTTTGTTTTGGTACTTTCCGTCTGTAAACACTAAACACTGGATTCTGGTTTATTACAATGTTCTGATGGTAGTTTTGGCATCTATAGGTCTAATGTTTTTGAGTCAAAGAGTTAAATTTGCAGGTTCTGGACCTCTTGCCTGTATCATTCTCACATTCATTGCTTGCATTAAGTGGCGGAAGGATCCCAAGCAATTTGAAGGTGTATATTATTACACAGTTTTGATATGGGAGGTTGTTGAACCAATATTGTTCTCCTTAATCGGCGCCGAAATTACCGTTGAGATTTTACATTCCAATGCTGGATGGGCGATATTAGCGCTGATTTTGTCTCTCCTTTTCCGCACAATCATGACGTACTTTATCACGTTTGGATGCAATCTGAACTACAAAGAAAAATTGTTTATTTGCTGTTCCTACCTGCCTAAGGCTTCGGTGCAAGCTGCTATAGGATCTCAAGCTTTAGATTATGCTCGACATCATCATTATTCTGAGGAGTTAGTTCAATATGGCATTATAGTATTGAACGTCTGCGTTTTGTCTCTGCTACTGACTGCACCATTAGCTGCTGTACTCATTCATTTTATGGGACCTATTTTATTAACTAAAGATGCAAGCACTCAACGATTTGATGGTTCTGATTCATCTGAGTCCAGTGATGAAGAAGCAACGACAGAGGGGAAAAAACTCGTAGCTGATTATAGTTCTATTAGTCTAGTACGTCCATCTCTACAAGAAAGAAAAAGATTAAAATCACTTTAAACAATTTACTTTAACTTCCAGAACGTGAAGTTTTATCTTGTACTCTTTGTCTCAGGGAAGATGTTTAGTCAATAGTTCCTGAGAGAAACTTCGGACTAAAATATTATGGAAAAAAAAATATTTAAGATGTATAAATGTTTGCCTTATTTATATAAACCTCAGAAATTCTTTCGTTTTTATGTTTGACTTTTTTCGGGGAGCTACTTTTATGTTATGGAAGCCCCCAAAATCCGTGCCAAAAATAAGTGTTCAGTTCATTATCAAATTTTAATATTTTGTTTACCTTATTTTATGATGAAAAAAAAAATTTTTTGAACAATTTTTTGAATTTTGTTGTAAATTCTATTTCAAATAATTCGAAAACTGCCTGATGCGATTAAATGCTAAAGTATAGACAGAAAAAATTAAGATTGCGTATGTGATATATGGAAGTATTACTTCAAATAATACATGTCGTCGAAATTATAGTGAATGTTCTTTTTTAATTGTAACATAATTTTTTTCTTCTACTTCTTCTATGGCCTGGTAGACAAGGTCTTCCTCAGCGCAATAAGTATGCACTCTTACTGTTTCAAGGGTCAAACCTTACACTAATTAATAATTAAAGCAAATATAAGTTACAAAACGCAATTTCATTGAAAAAACAAACCATTTTTTTTAATAGGTTGGAAAATTTGTTGCTCGAAATATCAATCTTGAAAATATCTTTATAATTTAGACAGAAGAGCAGTGAAAAATTTTATTTCTCAATATTTTTTTTCTGTGCCTTTCGTCGCATCTTCTAGAACTATTTGCCCAGATCAAAAATTTGCACACAATTATAATCATTTATTCAAAGATACTTCATGTAAAAACTATTTCCTTATTATTATTATTATTAAACTTAATAACTCTTGGAAGATTTATGTACTGTAAGATATCTGATGTTTTCGATCTTCTTAAACCAAAATTTGATAGGAATCTGACTAATAGCTTTAAAAAAGTGGTGCTTTTACATTTTAATTTCTCGAGAACTATTTGATCGAATCCACTCATATTTTTGGCTTTTTTTTTTAAATCATTATGCGATTTTTAAAAAAATATGTGTTTTTTAAACCATTATGTTTAAAAAAAAAAGTTCAACTAGTTGCATATAATTCAAAAATATTTCTGGTGGTTATTGCATTAAATAAAAATTAAGAAATAATTATAAATGTAATTTTCTGATGTACAGACGATATGTTAAATAAAATAAGAAAACGACATATAATTAAATAAAATAACAAAAAGTAATAAAAATTTACTAAAAGTTATTTTTTGCATGGGATTTTCCTTGGATAAATGATGTTTATAATTGGGTGCAAAATTTTTCAATTTGCTTAAAAAGTTCTTGAAATATAACGAAATACGCAAAAAGTAAAATTAACATTAAGGGAAACCAAACTTAGAAGCATTCTCTTTACCAAACTATTGTGACCATATTTCCCAGATTGTGACTAAACCTCATATTTTGGGGGTCAAAAATCTGAATCCGTCAAAAAAATATATGTTTATGCAGCTAAAATAAGTTCTGATTTTGTTATTTAAATTATCATTTGCACTAATTAATTAGCGTATTTTAGGTTAGAACCTCGAACTATTGACAAGAAAATCTAATCAAAAATCATTCAAGACAGCTCTTTTTTTCTCACGGTTAATAATTTTTTGACTTTATTTTTGACAAAAATTCTAATATTTAATAAGAGCAGCCGTTACGAAACACCATGTATGAAATCTAGAAAACTTTTCTTCTTTTATTAATAAAGTAATACATCACGACAAAATCCGTAATTGCTTGGCTCTCTTTCTAAAATGACTCCTTTATTATTCTGAACGATGAAATCACGTTGATCCAACAAAATTTCAATAACTAATTGCCTATTTAAGGAGTAAATATTCTCATCGAGTCGTTCTTCCACATCGTAATTTAACGATATTTAATACTCTGTTGTAATTACTTTAGAAACATTTACCCACACTTCCATGATTAAAGTAATCGTAAAGTCCATTGTAAACTGGCAAGTGATTAAAGTGTCTCCTTTAAATAATTCTAGAATTATAAGTGTTTCAGAATGTTACAAAATTTTAACGGCCATCTTTAAACTAAGATGACATAAATTCACTCTCCTAAGAGTAGTTAAACCTCCTGCAAATGTCAGTTACTCGTTCTCACAATGAAAAAGAATATAAACATAGAGTTAAAACCAATAAAGTTATAAGTGTAACCTATAAAGTTAAAGTATTGATTTGTGTAAATTTTTATAATAAATAAAATCTCTCAACAAGAAATTGTTCACTCCAAAAATGTTTTAAGGCATTAATTTAAATGGAGTCGCATCCTCAATACATTGTAAAAAATTTTCAAGCATCTCAACACCAAAAATCGTGGGAACAATTTTGCACCAATGTAGTGTAAAGAAACATAGATAACATTTAGATCTACGTGTTTCACTGAAGCATGAACAAAGAATAGTTGTTGGTGTAGTAAAGCACCAAGAATGTTCTTTTACACTACTCGGCGTAATGTAGCCACCACAATTTTTGTTACTCAGTACCACTAAAATTTTTAATGACCGTAAAATAAGATACACATTAGAGTCTGAATGTTATTTTGACGATATAATTTAAAGTAAAAATTTCTTTAAAAAAATTAGCTTGTTATCAAACATACACACAGCACAGAGAGAATATTAATATGAATTCGAATTAGGCTTAACGAAACAGAAGCGGATCGAAGTTAAATGTAGGTAATAAAATTAGCAATTATGCACAATCGTTTTTAACAACTAAAAACATACAAGCAATTTTACATCAGTTTACTATTGTTTCTTTGAAATGTCCATCATCGTGCAAAGCGAAAACAACCTTCACCTTCTTAACTGTAAACAATCTACCGTTTTTGTCTGATAGTTTCCAATAGTGTCGAATTTAATTCATGAACTTGGTGCAAACTTTATTAATTATTGGTGGTAAGATTTAACTGTGGGCCTGAATCCTCGATTCAATGTAAACTCAAAAAAATTTTGTGAATTATTTCATTATTTTGAGTTTTCCAACCCCAAATTCGAATAAGTGTAACACAGTTTTTTCAGCGTAGTGAGTCTGTGGCGTAACTACCAGTATGAATATTAAATACCAATTTTTTAGTATATAAGACATGTTAACTTGATTCTAACACAAGGTACCTTTTGATAGATGAAGGTTGACATAGTCTAAATTTAAATCTCCACACTGGTGACCTGTGGACGTGATAAGAACATGCCAATATTGATGAATGATCCACATGAATCAGTTAATTTTCTTAAAAATATACTGCTCAATGAAAAAAAAATCCGGTGAAGTCAAGAAAGTCTCAAGGTTATAAACAATACTGAAAAAAAAAATTACAGAGCAAAATGCTATAAACAAAAAAAATGAGAATGCTATAAAATAACTTTTAAAAAAATGAGCAAAATGCTATAAACAAAAAAAATATAGCGAAAAGCTATAAAAAAACAGGAAGGAAAAAAAATAATGAGCGAAATACTATGAAGAAAAAATTTAATGAGCGAAATGCTAAGAAAAAAATAAAATGAGCAAAAATGAATATAAATAAATAAACAGCATGAATCAACTAGTAGTATTCATTCATCGAATTCTATCACATTTAAAATTCTGGAAGGGGAGTAATGTGGCGTAACTACCACTACAAATATTAAATACCAATTCACTGGTATATAACACATGTTAACTTGATTCTATCATGAGGTACCTTTATATAGATGAAGGTTGACATGGTCGAAAAATAAATCTCCTCAAGTCAATTATAAGATATCACATGATTCAGACAATCGAAATATGAATTATAATCAGCAATGTGTTCTTTGCTATTAACTCAATAAAAATATTTATACACAGTAATAAATTTACCGAAGTAATCAAATCACATAAATTAATTAATAGGAAAATCGTGATATTATCCGTTAAGTTATTTCTAAAATAGAATAATCACTCTATTTTATACATGGCAACAGATAATTTGACAGAAGTGCTAATTATTTCATGTGTGGCTGCGTACTTTTTTTTCCCTGTACGAAATTTAAAAATGTATTACAAAAAAAGTTATGTTCCGAAATTCAAAATTTCTAGTCAATAAAATTAACCAAAAAACTTTAGTCACACTGAAAACTCATCAACTGCATTGAAATGCTAATCACATCGTGTGAAAGTATTTTTAATGCTTTAATTTAAAACGAAATGTTATTATTAAACTAAAAACTATTCCGTTTCATCTATAAAAATTCCACCCTGCCCCCTGAGGCGTGGTGGAATTTGGCGAATCTGAATTTTTAAATCTGAACTCCTAATTTCAAGAAGATTCGGATTCTCCAGGGGGCTAAAAGTAATCCTCTTTTAGGTTCATGCATTTTGTTTCAAAGATGGCGCTGCAACCGAGAAAAATTAAATAGGTTTAAGCAAAATTTATAGACCTATGGTTAGATAGGGTTACTTATTTCTGGAGAATCCGAATCTCCACTAAAAAATTGGGGTTCATATTTAAGATTTCAAAGTTGTACCCCAACCGACCCAAGGAGGTGTAAAGAGAGAACAAATTTGATAGCTTTTAAAAAAGCATTGAATGCATCCATTTTCACTTTTTCGATCCGATGTGTATTCCTGGAGATATTTGACAGTTTCCAAACCTTTTTTACACCTGTAAATAATTTACCCACTTGTTTGATATTTGGAGACTGTCTTTTTGCAATTTGAAAGAAAAAGGAGGAAATCTGTAAACTGAGCTTGTTTTTATAGCAGGTTGAGTAAAGTGTCTAAAATATGTTTATTTTCGAACAGATTGGAGCACAGAGAGGTAGAATCATAGTCAGATTAGAATGGGTTACAAGAAATTAAACTTTTAGCAACTATGACAATTTCAACTGATAGATTGGAGCAGCAATCACACGCATGGTAAGCTAAGAATTCTTTCATCTTCCTCTTGTCTAGCAATTTCAAAAATCGGGAAAATTACTCCTGTCATAACTTTTGATCTTATAATCGTGTTTTCACGTGCCAATTTTTATGGTTCGATAGCCTGAACTTAAAAATGCAAAATAAATTTGTGCAAACGATATTTTAAGTTACGAAATTATATACCGACA